GTGATTATTACACGATTGTTCCCAGTTTTACGTCCATCCGCGGATCTGCTTTTTTTTTTCTGTCTGCAAGCGCACGCGCACTGATCTGATTTTTTGACGAAAAATGTCCAAAATAGTGTGCATAACTTTTCGTACGATTTCATACGAACTCATAGTGAAAATATTTTGACAGTATGTAGGGTCCAAAACGCAGGACCTGAAATTTACCATTGAAACAAAGAAACAATCACATGTAAAAATCACATGCGAAACATAGGGAGCACTTTTAACAATCTAACATTTTTTTACACACTATACAAATGTTCATTTCTATTTTCAATTTGGAATTTGATTCATACGATTTCACGTTACACAAATCTTTACACAAGACTATCATCTATAAAGACAATGTGATTCATATTTGAGGCACATGCGAAAAAACATAGGAATCACTTTTAACAATCTAAATTTTTTTTAAACACAAAAGTTGATTTCAATTTTCCTTTTTTTCCAAATGTGATTCACATGTTTACACATGAAACTTCACATGTGATTCCTATTTGAAGCACATTTGAGGCAAATGTGTAGTGCATGTGAACAACATGGGAATCACTTCTGCTTTTAACATTCCAAATCCGCACCAATACATGTGGTATTACAAAACATTCACATGTAAAGTTCACATTTATCTTTTTCCAAATGTGATGTTCCAAATGTTTTCTCATGCGATATCACATGTGATTCCTATTTGAAGAACATTTTAGGCACCTGTAAATCACATGTAAAAACACACGCATCTGAATTGATTTTGCAGTTGATACACATTTTTTTTTACACGTAATTCTCATATGAGATCCACATTTGAAGCACATGTGGATCACATATAAAAATGTGGAAATCACATGCGCTTTTAACAGGAAATTTCCCCATTCCACAAATATACATGGGGTACATATGTTTCACATGTGTGATTCATGCAGTTTTTCTGTAACGGTAAATAAATTGTAAATCTTCCATAAAGGAAAACCATGTACCTGATTACTAAGCGAGTCCTTCCTTACTTCACATAGCCACGTCACAGTTATCACCGAGTTTAGGACGAAAGAAAGGAAGAGATTTTTGTGAAGAGTTATTCTCTCGCAGCTCAAAGTTCTGAAGAAAATCAGGAAAATGACTTTAGAGAAACATTTCAAATGGACCGGTAATATTGAATGTGCTCCTAATTTAAATCAACTTACTTAAAATAGAAGAATATTCCTAATGAAATGAGGAGTGAAATGAGTGATAGGCCATGGCCAATCATGGTCAAGTAGAAGTGGGTCATTGTTGCAGGCTGTGTAAAGATTGAGTTGTCATTACTAGGTACATTGACAACAAAACTGCAACATGAGTCTCAGTTCTTGTTGTCTTTCTCTTACCGTCCGGTCGGTATTATTAAACTGGCAGCTATTGAAGTCTGTCCACGTTCTGTTGCTCTCTGGGTGTCGTCCCCACTCCCCTGTGTTTGTGCAGACTTTTTCTGCCATGGCTTTGTTAAAAAGGAAATAATTGGGAATAAATTAGATGACATTACAACAACAAACTGTTTTGTCTATTAAAAAAAAACATATATTCATATGTATATAATCTAATTAAATAATTATAAAACTTTACTTCATAAATTGGTATACATTCACTAGTCACTAAATAAGCTTTGCTGTTTGGGTTTAACTTAACTTCATCTGAAAATGAAATGTTTAATTTTTAAAACCTAATTCAGAATTATTCAGTTTTTTGTTGATGAGTCTTAGGTAATCTAAAATAATGTGTCTAAAATAAGATTTGAGACATTAGTTTAAAACATTTTGATGGGTCCAAAATATCTACATCTCAGGGAAAGGATTAGGGCAATTAAAAAAAGGGCCACTCAATACAACAAAAAGACTACTAACTTATGACTAAATTTAACTCGGAATTCTTACTAATTCTGACTTTGTTCTTAAAATTCTGACATCAATGTTTAAATTCTGACTTTAATCTTAGAATTATGATTTTAATCTCA